AACCGAGTCTCGGATCAAAGCCTCCCTGATGGCCAGCTTGCGCTTGGCTATCGCTTGCGCCCTCGCCCGCATCAAAGCTTCCACCCTGCTGGAATGTTGGCCAGAGGGGGCAGAGAGCGAACGGCAGTGTACGTATTGAGAAGGAGGTCGCGCATCAGAACGGCACCGTGCAGGGGTCTACTAGAAGGCAGCAGAGGTCTCATAAGAAATCTATCAACAGCATTCCACTTGTTGAAAACTGGCCTGCAGAGACGGGATGAAAGCGGACAACAGTGGCAGCAACACAGGGCACTGAACATAGTGTAGAATGTGGTCGGAGTCGTCGGCTCCGCACCCCATAACGCAGCATCTAGTCCCAGATCGAAGCCGGGCCGTAAGCCAGTCATTACACATCGATGTTCAAACGGAGGGGGCAATGAATGGGGCAAGTTTGGTAGCGGCTAGGAAGATGGCCCGGTGCAGGATACCGGGGTGGTTCATAGGGGCTGCGAACTCTCGGGTACAATTCGACGGGGATGGATGAACTACCCATATGCTTGGCAATCTCGAGCGTGACTTCTCTGTACCTCATGCGTGTACTCGTACACTTGTGGGCAAATCCGCGCAGCTTCAGTCCAATGATTAATCAGGGAAACGCGCATAGATGCCCAAAGCCACGATCGATGCCGAACGACAGCCAGCCGCTCAACATCTTCAGAATCCAGAAAATGAAATCGAGCCTTCACTCTCTCGAACGCCGTACTCTGCCGAGGAACCCGAAACAGAAAGGCTTTGTTGGTGGCCAGGAGGTGCTGAGGCTCCACGGGGAACCCGAAACGCAGGGAGTTCTGAAGAACGTGAGCGGGGATGACGCGCCGCGGACCCAGGGTCAGCTTCAGGGGGGCATTCTTTCCAGCTCGGATTACCTATAGCCTCGCTGGGAGCACCTGCGTCAGGTACGACAACGCCGAGGAGGCCAGCGAGTTGTAGGCATAGATGTGCTGGACTAAAGCGAACTTCAAGGTGTTTGCGTGCCCGATCCTGGAGAGGTACTTGGCAATGACACCAAAACCGGGAAGCAGCAGGCCCAGTGGGGCAGATCATCGCTCAAAGGTATCTCCCGTGCGTATCGACCTGGGAGGGTTTAGTGTTGATGCCCCACCTCCTAAACTCGCTGGTCAGCTCGGTTCGGTCGAACTCGCAAGAAGACGAGGGAGTCCAATACAGGATTAGATGCAAAAGCAAATAGGGCCCCCGAGAACGGGCACCCTTTTTGGATGCCGCGAGTGTTACGGTACCCTGGATATTTCTTGCCTGCAAAAATGACGAAGGAGTAGAGATCGGAGTTCAACTGGCTGACAGCATGCAGGACTAACTCAAGGACGCCCATACATCTCATGACGCGCAGAATCCACCCATGCGACGGTGAGAGGAGGGCCGCCATGATATAATTTAAGAACTGGCCCGCGGCAGGACAGTTGTTGTAGCATGCGTTTTTGAGAAACTCCCCCTCGATATCGAGAGCGTTGTCGATTCGGCATCTACCTTGCGCGGAGCCCTTCTGCGTTGGATCGGTTGAATATGCAGCCTGCTGACCCGTCGGGGCGCAGATCGAGCTCGCTATAAATGCGTTGTCGGTGTTGCTACAGGTAATCGGTCTAACCTGGTGGGAGGGTCGAACAATCGCATCCGCGTCGCTGGGGAACACATCTTTCGAGAGAAAAGACAACCTGCCCGCAGTTAAAACCTGAAGGTAACTCGCGCCATCGCACGCCGCCTCATAGGCGTCGAATAGCACGCGGTGGACGCCCCCAACAAATGCGGGATGCCTGTAAGACCACGTGCAGATTCGCGCCGACTCGCGATGATGCCCTGGATGGTCCCGAAGTCGATTTTCCATTCGATGCCAGGGACAAATTGTGGAATATCCTCAGAGAGCTCTCCTAGAATGTCCAGATACCTCGGGTGAAGTCCAAGTCCCGTTGGGCGAACCTCGCCCCAATGAGTGGCCGACGCCCGAGCACTTTCGCCCGGGTGGGCCGGGGGGGGGGGGGGGGGCGTCAGGCGTAGATGTGCCGCTCAAATTGAGACGTCGTCGCCTGGGCGAACATGGCTCCTAGACTCTGGTGCAGCTGAGTTCGCTGCTGCTCAGCTTCCTGCAGGTCGCGACTAGCGCTCGGCAGCCTCGCCAAATCCTCGAGGGCAACGGCGATGCTGAGCTCGCTCAATGATGATGGAAGCTGACGTAGCCCAGGTATCTGTGACTCTGCGCGTCAATGAACCTAGCCAGCACGGGATGAGCCTCCACGCGTCGTCGGACCCAGGACTCCGCGCCCGGGCGAGAAGGGCGGCGAAGTTGGCGTGCCCGCGGGGCCCGCGGGGCTTCCAAACAAACGGCAGCCTTTTGCTTGTCGGCCTGGACTCCGCCACCGGGCGCCCTCTGCGCCAGCTCGCCCCCTAGCGGCGTGAGAATGTCCGCCAGACAGGTCAACTGCTGGAAGGGGGTCCCCACCGAGACCTACTTCTTCGATGAGAAATCCGACCGCCTGGCCGAACTCGGGGCGTTCTGAGATCCATCTCGCAATTATTTGAGACTTCGTATGCCCAAAGGGCAAAGGAAGGAACGCAGGAACGTGATCGGGCACCTCGTCGACGTTGCGCGCGAATCCTATCGTTCCAGATTTGGGGCGCCAGTCGAAGATCTCACCTGCGGGGGCAGTGGTTTAGATCCGGTCGAGCCTGGCGATGGACGCGACGACATTGCGCACCTGGGTCCTATGGGTGCAACGCGGCTGTTCGATCTCACAAACGCTTGGGAAAACGGCGACGAAGTGCCTGCCGAGAAGGGTTCGAACGCCGCCCTCTTCGACGGAGTTGAAATCGCCAGCCAGGAATGAGAGACAGCAGCAGCTGCTCGGGCTCGCTCGCGCCATGAGATCAGATTTAGCAGCGCGAGGGGGGAGGGGTTGAGTCTGCATGTTCATCAGGAGGAGATCCCCTGGCACCGCGTAGCCGAAAAAAAAAGCACCGCCCGTTGCTGATGCGAGCTACTTCGGGATGGTCCCCCAATCCAACTCATCGCAGATTCGCTCGTTGAAATGACGCAGCCACCACTAGAAGAAGAGGGGCAGAACTAACCGCAGTGGACGTGTGTGTGTGGGGGGAGGGAGGCGCGCTCCAGAGAGCACAGATCGCCTTCAGATCCGTGAGACTCTCGACACGTCACAGCGCCAAACTTACTGAGGAGCTGCGCTAGAATTGCGACTTTCTTTCTCTGCCCCGCATGAGAGCCGAGCGCGCTGCTGGACAGGGTGGCTGAATGATGAGGAACCAAACTGAACGGAGCACTACTTGCGAACGCAGAGCTGTCACCGGGCGCGCCAAGGTCAGGAAGGTGGGGGGGGGGGGGGGGGGGGCGCACGGGGCAAACCGCAGGACGGATGGGGCGCGGGGCCCCCCGAATGCCGACGGGGCTTCGCCGCGCGCACTTCCGTCAACGCTGGGCTGGCTGGAGCCGCCATCGAGACGACGTCTAGACGACGGCGGCGCAGACGGCCCAGAGGATGCCAGTCGGGGAAGATCCTAGTCCACGAGCTGCGCTTCCACGCGGTCGGCGAGTCTGTTCGCGACAGTGTCCTTCATATGGAAGTGCTTGAAACTCTCGGTGTCGATGTCGATGCCATGCGTGGGGTTGCCCACCACGATGCGCGCTGTCTCTTTGATTGTGGCGAACTCGTGCGGGTCTCCATGTTCAACTAAAGCAAAGAAACCCTGAAACGGGTTGGTGCCGAGCTTCATTGAGCCCGCGTTCCACAGCTGGTTGGCCTTCATTTCAGAAAGGATGTTGCACGCGATGCCCAGCGCGTACGCTTTGTGTCGCACAGGCGTAGGCTGGTCCTTCCCAAATCGGAGATCGCGAGACACTTGACCGCGAGGATCGGCCCATTTCATGCTGATGTTCTTGAAGTGTCCCCAGCAAACGTCGGCGAGGTCTTTGCTCTCGAAGTCGAGGGCGTACGAGAACGTGGAGTTTTGGACTTTCGGCGCGACAGCGCCGATCAGCGCGGCAGGCAAGCTCGAGTTGAGTTCCGAGTAGCGGGCAACGCGTTGAGTCTGCAGCAGCTTGCGCGGGCAACCGCGAAAACACGGGCGGCACGGATTGCTCCCCTCGCAGGGGCCATTCGCTGGAGCGCGGGTGCGCCGACCATGCGAACCAGCCGCGGCGTGCGAGAAGCTCCCAGAGGTGGTCGATGCGATCGACGGAGCTCTTGATATAAAGGCAACCTGGGCCCGAGCGAAGTCACTTGTTCCTGAAGTTTGGCGAACACATGATCTTGAGACGGCGTGATACCAGCTCCCAAAGCGTCGACCTTACGATTCGGGTCGGCGAAGGCTTTGTTGGTCATGTCCTGGAACTGGTTCATCTTGGATTTGTTATCGACCATCTTTGCTTCGTTGGCGTTCACCTTCTCGCCGAGCTGCTTGCGCTCGTCGATGTTTTGGTCGGGCGAATTGAAGCGAACCGTGACCTGATTCAGCGCACTCTCATCAGCTATGGATCCCATCGCGTGACGACTCAGGATGAGCGGACAGGGAGCAAACATGGAACTGGAGCTTGCCGAAAAGCTGTGGCGACAGGTGGGCCTTGGGCGACCCTCGAAGTCGCGCACGGGTGAAATGGACGCTCGGGCCTTCCCTTCGGCTGCGTCCAAGTATGAAGCACCAGGGACGTGTTTCAAACTTGAGCCAAAATGGTTATGGAGCTGCTGATGATTAGGATGAAGATGCTGATGACGCTGCTGCTGCTGCTGCTGATGCTGATGCCATGCTGCTGCTGATGATGATGGCGGTGGTGATGATGCTGCTGATGTGGCGGCACAAGACACATGATGAGACGGATGCCAGGACGAGGCACGCAGCAGCGGGGCAGAGGACAGAGGGGGTCAAAAGAGATCGGCACGCGCAGAGAGTGCAGCGCAGCGCGGCTGGCAGCAGCGCCGGCGAGAGCTGGCGGGGCGCGCCTGTTCGGCAGGCCGGGCGCCCGCCGCCAGGAGGCAGGCCCGCGGCTGCAGCCGCAGTGCGGCCAGGGCGACGGGCTGACGGACGGGGGGAGGAGCTGGCCCAGGAATAGCGGGGGGGGAGGAGGGACGGGCGAGGAGGGGGGGGGGGCGGGATGAGGGGAGGGGCGGGGGGGGCGGAGGAGGAGCAGGACCAGTGCAAACCCAAGGCGCATCAACGATGCTGCAAACAACCCTCCCTCCACGTTCCCTCTTCATCAGTCCAAAAAAGAATTCATTTTCATTGCGGGAAGTGCCCCGTTGGAAGACAACCGTCTGAGAATCAACCGACCCTTTGGGGTCTACGGCGTGAGATACTGTTGCCCCTCCCTCTCTGGGGGGGGGGCCCGTCCAGCCGGTTTGGAGGGGAGATGGTCTGTGTGAAATGTGCTGGCGGACCTGGCCGCCTCAGAGATGGTCATGGGCGGCCTCCATGGCTTCGGCACTCATCTCAGGGGTTTCTCGACGATCCCCAACGGCACCAAGTCGACCAAACATGGTTTCAAATCTCCAAGACGCCACCCGAAGACTTCCACAAAATCCCCCGCAAGGGCACCAACATACCATAATTTGCTCACTCCCCTGGGACAACTCACATTTTTGGCAAGCCCGCTCAGACGCCCTGCCCAGCGACCCGAGACGGGCCAGGAGACCTCGAGGGCCCCACGACTGCTCCCGGCGGCCCCAGGGCGGCCAAGAGTCTCCCAAGACAGCCCAACAGGACTCCGAGACGGGCTCAAGACCGTCCAAGATGGCCCTATGACGGCCCAACACGGGCCCCACCCATCCCAAACTGGCCCCAAAACGGCCCGCAAGCTTCAGGCGCCGCGGACGGCCCCGGAGCGCCTCCTGAGGCACCGTAGAGGCTCCAACATGGCTCCCTGAGGACGACCCCCGCGAGGGCATCAATCATTCCCTTAGGAAAACTTGCATTTTCGGCAACCTCGTTTAGGCGCCCTTCCCCGCAACCCGAGAGGGCCAAGAAGCCTCCATGAGGGTCCCACGACGGCTCCAGCCGACCCAGGGGCGGCCCAAGAGACGCCCAAAGCAGCCCCAGATGACCCCCAGACGGGCGCCCCGAGGCCGCAGCATCAAGTGCTCTAAGGATCGCCGCCTCCTTTGGCGTCTCGGGCCTGCCCGAGGACTGCAGCACGCTGTGGTCGCCCGGTCCTGCGCGACGTACTCGGCCTCCGGCTCTGCGGGCGAACGGGCCGCGTCGACCGCGGCGGCCCTCGTCGCGGGCGGGCGGCTCCCCCTGGCGGGGGGCAGCTTCACCTTGCTCTCGGCCTTGGCGTCTAGGGCCAGCAGGTTGCGCCAGGGAGTCTTCGCGGGGCCTGTCCACTCGTCTGGGCCCATAGCGACTCGCAAGGCAGCAGCGGCACGGGTGCCCTGCAGCAGCATTGTCAGCGCTGCGCCGGGCAACACCGAAAAGGGCGTCGCCTGCACATTCACTGTCGGCGCAAACATTGGAGGCCTCTTTCCGCATACCGCTCCTGGTTTCTGGCATCCCCTTACGACTGGCGCAAAACACGGCAGAGGCTGGCTGGAAACTCCCAGGAGGAACCACTGGCCATGTGAGGACAGCGCCCGTCGCGGCCAGGAGAACAGATGGCTCCTGAGGAGCCGCATGCTGGACACGCGGAGCTGCCCGCAAGCCGGCCGCCAGTGCCTCGCCTAGGACTATGGATTTGCAGACCCTGTGCGACGTGTCAGCGAAACTCCGGAAGAAAGTCTGCGCTGCTCGAACTTGTGCGCGTGCCGCTTGCGCCCTGAGTTCTGCAGCCGTGCGCCGAGGGCGCCACACCGCGCGCCACGCAGGGTCCATGGCCTGGCAGTGGGCGGCTGGAAAAGAGGAGCAAGAGAGCAGAAGGGACGGGCAGCGGCCAGGTGCCGTCTGAGCCAGCGCTTCGAGGATGGGGGAGGCAGGAGGATCGAGGAGGAGGAGGAGGAGGAGGAGGAGGAGGAGGAGGAGGAGGAGGAGGAGGAGGAGGAGGAGGAGGAGGAGGAGGAGGAGGGGGGGGAGGGGAAGGAGGGGGAGGTGGGCGAGGTAGGAGGTGGGCATGAGGAGGCGCATCGGCACGCATCGTCCAATCGATCGAACCTTGGACAACTCTGCCCCCTTTGCATCTGTCCCCCGGACCTGTCCTGGGGCACATCCCTGCCCCAGGATCGAGGCCAGTCCAGCCTTGGCGACGAGCCCCCCACTCCGAAGACACGCAAGAAAACAAATTTCCACTTCTCCGATCTGCATCGTCTACCCAAATATTCTGCACCAATAGGAACGGCGGGTTCACGGGATTTGAGGGCAGCGTGTTTATCTTTGTTCCCCAAGCAGTGTTGCACTTAGGGGTTCTTACCTCTGGTCCAAAGAACTGGGCCTGTCTGACGGTCTGGCGGCTATGTCGTCGCCGTCGCCACCCCGTCGCCGCCTGGTCGCCGCCCGTCGTCTGGGCGTGCGTGGCGGTGTTGCGGCTATGTCGTCGCAATCGCCGCCCCATCCCGTCGCCGCCGCCCCGTTGTCCCCCCCTCCTGTTGCCGTCGATGTAGTGCAGCATCGACTGCAACACTTAAATAGCACCACATCGATTGCAAAACGTAGATTGCACAATACACGTTGCACGATTTATGTTGCACCACATCGAATGCACAACCTAGAACACATCACATAGGTTGCACCGCATGGATCGCACCACATCCATTGCACCACATAGTTGTTGTGTAATTGTAATACAGCGCTGCGTAGACTGCACCACATCGATTGCACAACATGGTTTGTACCATATACATTGTTGCACGACATACGTTGCACAACGTATATTGCATCACATCGGTTGCACACCATACATCGCACGACATCTCTTGCACCACACATTCTGCACTACATAATGTGCCCCACCAATGCTGCACAGCATAGACTGCTAGACAGACACTCGTTTGGGTCGTTGGCTAACTTGTACAGATGTTCCTGAATCACTGCGTTCCTCCTCTCCCTCCCTCTTTTTATTGTTATTCTTCATATGATTATCCTTCTGCTTACCAGTATTGCTTCGCGCATATTATTACTATGCTTTTGATCATCTCCCACATCGTCATGCGTGCATGTTTCCGCATGCGTGCCCGCGCGGCAAGATTTTCACATTGCAACCTGGTGTGGCAGATGAGACTTGGATTCCCTTTGAAGACGAGGGAGAGAGAAGGGGGCTGGGGGGAAGACCGCAGGAAAAACTGGACTGGTGGATTCGACCCTCCTGTCCAGTGAAGGCACATGTCATGGATTTTTCTTGGGTGTTCCAAGCATGTTGGCTTCTCGGCAACGGGCCCTCTGGGGCTGTCGTGAGGGTCTCTTGAGGCATCTGGAAGCTCTCTTGGACCGTCTGAAACTCGTGGAGGCCGTCTTGGGGGTGATTCGGATGCCCCTTAGGAGAGTCGCGACCCCCGGGCCCCCATCTGACATCGAGGTCACGGCCTGGGAGGGGGGGCCCCAAGGTCTCGAGAAGGGGCGGCGGCCCTGCTGGAGCGGAGCACAATCTCAAGAAGTGGGCAGCCGTCCGCCATGTCCCAGTAGCGCCAGGATATCCTCGGGGGCTACCCAGGAGCGTAAAATAGACCCAGACTTGATCCAACGCTGGCCGAAGACGGCGCAGTGAGGAAACTCCCGGGTGCGCAAAAACCTGCAGGAATCGAAACTACTGTTCGGTGACTTCCCAGCGGTCTCTCGGGGGCTTTCGTTGAGCATCTTTGGGTCTCTTTGGGGGCTGTCGGGGGGGTCTTTGGACGCGTCTCTTTACCTCTGGACCAAGCCTTCAGCCCTCGCCTCCGTGCAGCCCAGCCTGAGCAGGCACCTGATGCGGCTGGCCAAAGGGAGCAGCTGGAACACCGAGGGAACGGGAGAACGAACCAGTAATGAGCATACTCGCTCCGAATCTGCGCCAAAACGGTACTGCGGACCTCACTGGCGACAAAAACTTGCCATCTACCCGGGGCCTCTTACTACAAGCATGCCAATTGACACGCTCGCCGAGACAAAAAACGGTAGAGAAGGCGAGGAGCGAGATTACCATCCGAAGGGCACATGACACCGCGGAAACTGTACACGGTTGGCGCCCTGGTCAGCCGTCAAAGCTAACTGGACGTATCTCAGCTGCAAGATGTAACCAAGCCCTCAATTTGCGTACACAGACATGGCGTTCCTCACTGCATCCTCTGGGCGCCGACAATCTTCTCCTGTCCAATGGCCGCGAGCACGGCGACGAGAACGGAATCGCCATCCTCCTGCATCTTCAGGATGTCCTCGACCACCTTCCTGTCTTCATCGGTTGGCTCGCCTGTCTTCACGAAGGTGGGCAAGTTCAGGTCGTCCTTCGTCTCGCCAGACTCCAGAAGCAAGCTGACTTCGCCAGTAAACTCGTCAGCAGACAGCAGTTGGTACTCCGTGCGCTTCGTGAATGGAATCTCCATGTTGTGCGACGTGGGGCAAAGATCCTCGTACTTCTTCCCCGTGAAGATGTCCAGCGCCACGATGTGGGCCTTCGCGTGCCCGTGCTTGCCCGTCTTCGACGTGGAGATATCTGCCACTTTGCAGGCTTTGCCCTTGATCATCACCATGGATCCCTTGCGAAGCTCTCCGCACTGTTGCGGGTATGTGTGGGAGGATCCTGACTCGACCTTATCGAACGTGGGCTCATCGTCGTCCGCCATGGCTCGCGACCGCTCGAGTTTCGGGATCCCCGCCCTGGGACCGGGCCTGGCAATCCGAGAACTTGCGCCAAAATGGCTTGAGCCAAAATGGCTGCGGGGGTCTTTGGGTGCGTCTTGGGGGCCTCTGGGGTGCAATTGTGGGGCATCCGTAAGGTCTCTGGGGGCGTCTTGGGAACTCCTGGGGGCCTCGTGGACCTTTGGGAGTCTCTCGGGGCCTCGCGGGTACTTTTTGGGGGGCCTCTTGGGGGCCTCTTGGAGGCCTCCTGTGACCTCTGCTGGGTTTCGTGAAGGCCTTCTGGGGCTTCTTGGGAGCTTCTTGGGAGCATCTCGAAGCTTTTCCGAAACCTCTTGGGTGAGGCGAGGCGAGGCGCCGACGTTCGTCCATAAGGACGGTCCTACCAAAGCACGGCGGTTGGATCGGAGCCTGGGATGCGCTTCGGATCCCTGTGTTGCACATGAGCGTGGAAGCTCACGGAGGACGAGGAAAGGCGAAATTGCCGGGGAGATTGCAAATCCTTGAACGTGTTCTAGAATATTGAGCCGTCCTATCTGCATTAGATAGGGTTGGTTTCCTCGCCAAGCTAATGTGCTCGAGTCCCGCCCCGCACCAGAAACATTCGACGCGGAGATCCCCCCCCCATGTGCATGTCATTTCCTGGCACGTCCCGCTGCGAGTGTGCGGCCGTGTATGGGTGCGAAAGCGAATCCGAGTGGACGAGTGCGACGACGACGACGACCTCGACGGCGGCTATGATGAGGGACGGTTGCGACGACATCTCATAGGCAGACAGGCGGTGCGCAGGCCCCCGTCACCCCTCCTGCCTCATACTGCTCGTCGTACCCCTTCCCTCCTCTTCCTCCTTCCTCCCGTTTCCCCCTTCCTGCGACCTCCTCCTCCTTCCTCCTCCGTCCTCCCTGCAACGTCCTGGCGGCCGCCCTTCTCCGTACATCGGAGTGATCATGGGGCTCTGAATGGACAGGAGTCGGAAGTGCGATATGCTCGACGCTCGCCTCGCTAAACGCATCCCCACGATATGGTCGCCTGGGGTGCTGAAGCCGCGCCTCGCCCGAGCATGTGCCCAAGAGTTGAATACAATCTGACCTAGGCGAGAAGAACCTCCACGACGGCTCAAGAGGACTTCCACGTGGCCTTCGGTGGCTCCAAGATTCCCCAATATGGGCTCAAGACAGCCCACGATGCCTCCAAGACGCTCCAAGAGGCCCCGAAGGGGCGCTCCAAGCATTGGGAAACTACATTTTTAGCATCGACGACTTTTCAGCCTGCACGGAGTTCCAGCCAGTCTAAGAAGCCCCCAAGGCCACCCCATGACGTCCCAAAAGGGTCCCAAAAGGCGCCCGAGACGGCCCAAAACGGCGCCAAGACGGCCCCAGAGGCTCCCGAATCGGCCCCAAAGAGTCCCAAGACGGCTCCTAGAGGGGCCCCAGCGGCGGAACCCGAACCGAAAATCCGGGCCCTCCGCTCCCGCCTGGCCCTGGGACACCCCACGAGCCGCCCAACAGGTCCCAAGAGACCCCCAAAAGACCTCAAAAAAACGTCCGAGAGGCCCAAAAGAGGCCCCCAGAGGTCCCAAAACGGCTATCAGTGAACTTCGAAACTACCTCCACTATCGCCTGTGGCCGCGGGCCCCGGGCGGCGCTTCAAGCCGGAGCGCGCCGGGGGGGAAAGGAAGAGGAAACGGAGGGAGAACAAGGGAGGAGGACGAAGAGGAAGGAGGATGAAAGAAGGAAGAAGGTAGAAGGAGAGAAGAGGGAGGAGGGGGAGGAGGAGAAGCAGGAGGAGGAGGAGGACGACGAGGAAGAAGGAGGAAGGAGGGAGAAGGGAAGAAGGGGAGGAGAAGAAGGGGGGAGCTTCAATCCGCTACCTCCTTGTGCGTCTCCAGACGTGTGAGATAATTCCCCCCCATAACCCCCCCAGGGACCTCAAACCGGAGATCAGCCTTCCCCACCCGGGCCCGGCACGAGCGCATCACGGAACTTTTCTGGGGTCAAAAGGGCCTAAACACGGGCCAAAAAGGCCCCAAGAAGCCTCCAAGACGGCCCACGAGAGCTCCGAGACGCCAAACGACCTCTCCGACTTCGGTAGTCTTCTCTTGCACGCGCCGCTCCTGTCGCCTTTTGATGATTCCCCACCTGTTGCTGCTGCAAATGTTTCGTGTCCGAGAACGCTCCTCCGCACGCCGCGCACGTCACGTCGCACCTCGTTCTCTCGCCCTCCGCGCATTTCCGACAAAGCCTCTCCCCCGATGAATTGTGCTTCTTCTGTGCACCCGACATTTCCGCCTGCTCTTTCAACAGCGTCAGACATGTCTTGCTCGAACGCATTTAAGGGGTCGGCGGATGTGGCGCAAGCCTGAAGAATCCACGTCCGGACGTGACGTGTTGCCGGAAGCAGGTCGCGGAGCGGAGCGGAAGCCCTAATGCAACGTATCCTATGTATCCAATGATTGCATACTTGTTACATATTGCATTGTGTTACATTGTTATCTCTCCCCCCCTAACCCCCCCGGAGTCGCGCCACTTCCGTCGACCCAAAGGTGGAGGGCCCCTTGTGGGCCTAATAACAAACAAATACCAATGGAAAATCAATGATTTCGGCTCCTTGGGCCTCCTGGGGGTCCAAGAGGGCGTGAACACGGCTCAAGATGGTCTCAAGACGGGACAAGACCGCCCCAAGACGGCCCAAGATGGCCCCAAGAGGGCCCAACGCGCCCCCAAGATGGCCCAAGAGGGCCCCAAGAGCGCCCACCTGAGCGCTTCCAGAGGCCAAACACATAGATTCCCCTTTGGTTTTTGAAAGATTTTAGCGTTCTCGCCTTTTCCGGCTCTCAAAGGCCCATGCCGGCCCAAGCAGCCTCCAAAAGAACCCCAAGACAGCCCAAGAGGCACCCAAGGGGACCCCAAGACGGCCCCAGAGGGCCCCAAGACTGCCCAAAGAGGACCCCAAGAAGGTCCAAGAGACCCCCAATACGGCCCAAGAGGACCCCAAGAGGGCCCCAAGGCGGCCGCGAGATGCCCCCAAGAAGGCCCCCAAAGGCCATGACGGCCCAAGCAGCCTGCAAGAAGGCCCCCAAACGGCCCAAGAGGCTTCCAGGGAGGCCCCAAGACGGCCCCCCCAAAAAAACCAAGACGGCCCAAGAAGCCCCCAATACGGCCCCAGAGGACCCCAAGAGTGCAATTCACAGCCCCGAGCCTGCCTCACTAGAGCCTACTTACGACAGATGGCCTCTAGAGGCCGTGCGTGATATAAGCTTCAGGCTCCAAAGGAGCCCCATGTATGTTAGCCAAGCGTTTCCCGGCGAATCGGGTCCCTTAAGACTCCAGGTTTCAGCAAGCCTTGCTTACAGGTTCATCCGAAACCATTCTGGCTCAAGCCTTTGCAGCGTCTCAGCGACGCTGGACTTCTGGTGTGCGTCTGAGAGACGCAGGACAGCGAACTGCCCGCTGATAAACAGATCCTGTTCATCACCATAGTGCGATCAGCATCGCACAGTCACTGCCCTCATATTCGACCCGTCTTGCGACGAGTTCAACACCGCCAACGGTACCCTCGACACGTTGTCAGAGCAGAGAAGAGAGTAGCATCATTCAGGATTGCTATCAGGGCAGTGGTTCTAAGCGGGACCATTGCATGGTAGCGGAGCTATCAAGCTCCACGGACTACAGATTCACGGATATAAGTTCATCGTTTGAGCCATGGCGAAGAACAACAATAACAGCGATGACATCGTACCGAAGTGGAACGGAGATCTCACCACGGTGGACGATTACGAGAGAGACGTCAAAGCTTACATCCGAGGAACCCGTCGAGATGAACGATATGTATGCGGCCCTCGTTTGTGGAGACGACTGGAAGGTCGAGCACGACAAGCAGCCAAGGATGTGGACTGGGACCGCATTGAGAGAGACGACGGTGCAGCTGAGCTACTGCGACACATTCGTGCCAAGCTCGGAGCTCAGCCCATCCAGGATGCAGGCAAATATCTGGCCCGATGGATCTTCGATCTTCGTCGAGACACTGGAGAGCCAATGCCGAGCTATATAAGCAGAGACGATGAGGCCTACCACGACGTGGTCAAGGGTTTCGACACCGAGTATTTCAAGAAACAGCGCACGGCCCGGCTGTCGGAAAGGTCAAAGGAGTGGAACACCCTCTACTCGGAGCTCAACTGGTTCTTGTACAAGATCGAGCAGGAGGGCCCGGAGGACGCCGCCGACAAGGCCAAGGAGTTGAACTACCAGCTCTGGAACTTCATCAAGACTGGACTTGAGGAGATCCCCGAGCATCCAGATTTCGGAACCGACTTCAACCAGGCGATTCCTCTTGACCAGCTGCGCGGATGGCTACTGCTGCAGAGATCAAGACTTTCCCCGACGGAGCGTGCGGCAGTTATCAGCGCAGTCAAAGGCAACTTCGACTACGACAGCATCGGCGAGCAGCTACGAGTATCTTGGCCAGATGACGAGCTGACGAACAGAGATAAGAAGCACGGCAAGGACAACCATCGCCATCGCGAGCGAGGTCGGATCCATGCCGGCTGGGAGGAGAACAGCGAGGACGACGACGACTACAGCTACTACGATGGCGACCAGTCGGAGGCCACCTATGAGGACGCGGACGGCGACGAGGACGAAGGAGATCCCGAGGAGCCGCTCTACAGCGCCCAGGAGATCGAGGAGGCCGAGACCGCGTTCGCCGCCCAGCAGCGCAGTTTCGAAGAAGCTCGAGATCTACTCCGACGAGTGAAGACCGCCAGGAAGTTCTACCCCGTGGATGAGAACAAGAAGCGAGAAGGACGCGGAGGACAGCGCAAGTTCCAGGGACCTCGAGCTGGATCCCGAGGCTCTGGATCATCGAAAGGACGAGGCCGAGGGAGCGGACAACGACGCGATGTACCACCCCGACGTGATGGAGATCGCTCCCAGGGCCGGCCGCCCCGTAAGGGACCCTGTCTGAAGTGCGGCGGCAATCACGAGACTAA